GGGTGCCTGGACTATTCTGCATTACCTCACTTTGCTATGCAAATACCCACCATCACAACACTCTCTTGTTCAGTGCTGTGGTGGGGCCGTATCCAGTCTCACAGAGGCCTGAGAATGGCTGGTGAAATGGAAAGGTGCTAGTGCCCCATGATCCTGCTATCTAAGAAGAGAGAGGGCTTGGAAATGAAGTCCCTAGACATGGGTCTCCCTAAGGGGATCTGTATGGCTTCAGGGAATACAGGGCCCAGAAGGCATAGCATGACAGCACCGGGCAGGGGGCACTGGGGCCTTAGAGGGATGCTGCTTTTAGGTCCTACAACAGCCTAGGAAGAATGACCATGCCTTCTAAACCAAAAATCAGAAAATATAGCCTGCTAAGGAATTTTGGTGCTATTGACACAGAGACTAGTTTAGATATTGATGTGCTGATATTTCTTGGTTATACGGATGTTTTAAACCACACTTCTAGCAAATCCAGGCTGGAGGGTAACTGTATAGCATGGACTGCAGATAGCCAAAGAGATAAAGCAGGCTATAAGATCTATTTAGGGTACCTGAAGATGGTAGAAATAGTACAAAGGTATAAGCATGGGAGTCGTTTCAGTCTGAAACCATGGAATCAATCAGATCTGGAAAGAAAGGGATTCTGTTTCTTATTTATTTATTTATTTATTTATTTATTTATTTATTTTGAGACGGAGTCTCACTCTGTCACCCAAGCTGGAGTGCAGTGGTATGATCTTGGTTCACTGCAACCTCCACCTCCTGGGTTCAAGTGATTCTCCTGCCTCAGCCTCCTAAGTAGCTGGGATTACAGGTGTGTGCCAACACACCTGGCTAATTTTTTTGTATTTTTAATAGAAATGGGGTTTCACCATGTTGACCAGGCTGGTCTCAAACTCCTGACCTCGTGATCCACCCACCTCAGCCTCCCAAAGTGCTGGGATTACAGGCTTGAGCCACGATGCCCGGCCTGGGACTCTGTTTCTTAAAGCAAAAGGGCTCAGTGGTAGGGCTGGGTTGGAGTGGGGGGAGGACAGTGTTGGCTTACTTACTGGAACTGGGGCCTAAAACTGAAGAAATCAATAAACGAGAAGAATGGCTCTAAAAGCCTGAGCCAGAAAGAAAAAAATGTGTAAAACTGGGGCAGTTTCTTTTCCTCAGCTCAGTTTCCTCATTTGTAAGATAAGGCCACGAGAATGAATGATCATGGAAATCCCTTCCAGACCTCACATTCCTTACTATGACTTTCATATCCCCTGGGGCTGAGTACATTGTTTAACCCATGGTTGGCACTTATATCCAGGCCTTCTCAGGGGACCAATGGACTTTATCCCTCACTAGGGATCCTTGTCTCTGTCCCCAACTCCTGGCCCATAGGCATCTGGCTATATACATAAAACAAGCAAGTGCCTTTCCATATTTCTGAATGCTCAAGATGTCTCGTCATGCTGGGTGTGGCGGCTCAAACTTGTAATTCCAGCATTTTGGGAGGCTGAGGTGGGCAGATCACCTGAGATCAGGAATTTGAGACCAGCCTGGCAAACATGATGAAACATCGTCTCTACTAAAAATACAAAAATTAGCTGGGCGTGATGGTGGGGGCCTATAATCCCAGCTACTTGGGAGGCTGAGGCAGGAGAATTGCATGAGCCTGGGGGTGGAGGTTGCAGTGAGCTGAGATTGCGCCACTTCACTCCAACCTGGGCAAAAGAGCAAGACTCCGTCTCAAAAAAGAAAGAAAGAGAGAAAGAAAGAAAGAGAGAGAGAGGAAGGAAGGAAGGAAGGAAGGAGAAAGAAAGGAGGAAGCAAGGGAGAAAAGAGAAAGAAGGAAGGAAGGAAGGAAAGAAAAAAAAGAAAGAAAGAAAGAGAAAGAAGAGAAAGAAAGAGGTGTCATCATATGGAGATGCAGGGGAAGGGGAAGATTCTGGATAACTCTTGAAAGGTAATATCACTGGAAGAGCTTTACCCATTTGGTTGGGTGTTGAACTGGATGTAGGAGCAGCACTCAGTGGTATGTGCAGGTGGGAAAATAAGGCAATTTGCTTGTCAGTATATCAATAGGTATATCAAAGGTGTAAGGTGGCTGCTAATATATTGAATTCAACTTCAGGCTGCAAACATAGATTTAGGTAAAGGAGGTGACAACCCAGTTCTACTCTGAGCCAATCACACAGTGGATGTCTGGAATGTTAGATTTAGTGGACTTTGCTCTCTCAAAAAAATATACACACAAATCAAACTGTGTAGTGAGGAAAGTGAGGGCACTCACTTTCAATACATCAATAAGGAACAGGGGCAGATGAGAACCTGCAGAACTATCTGAGAGAGGACATCACTATATTCAGATATCTGCAAGTCTTGTCATGTAAGAAGAATGAGATGTGTTTTGTAATACATGTAGAAGATAGAGGGAAACAGACTTCAACATAAAGCAAAGCAAAACTTCCTCAGTCAAACTGTCCAAAGATGAAATCAAAAGCCTTAGAAGTTAGTAAATTCCCCACCCCCTTGGAGAAAGGAGAATGGGATTCATATTTGGTGTGCATCTAGGCACTGAAATACAGTACGTGCTTGCCATAAATTACCTCATTTAATCCTCATAATAACCAATGTGAAGATTGGGGTTCAGAGAAGTGAAGCAAATTGCTTGAGGTCACACAGCTACTGTGGATTTTATTAAACACAAAAGGCCCATGTTCTTTCTACACCAACAACCAGGAGCCGCTAGGCAAGGATGCTAGCAGGGGGCACTTAGTCATGATTGCCTTTAAGGTAAGTAGGGAAGTAGGCAGTCCTGAGAGCTTTAAATCCTAAGTCACTCAAGTGAAAAGAGGAGGAATCAGGATGTGTATTAAGGTGACAGATGAAGGTTTTATTCCTGTGCCAAGCCAGTGAAGTCACATGAAATGGATTGTCTTTAGCTCACTTAATCTGGATAAAATTTATCCTTAGATTTTTTCCATGGTTAAATGCAGTTCTGTAGTTTAAATGAATGGGTGTACACGTGCATATCTCTGTGTGTGTGTGTGTGTGTGTTGTTGCATCACGTGATTGTGGGGAGAGGGGCTGTAGGAGAAACGCAAGGGAAAGGGCAGTAAGCATCAGAGACTAGGTCTTTATAGTGAAATTCTAATTTCTCAAGGCAGTAGTAGCTGAAAATTACCTAATCAAGTGACCAGGCAACAGAGCCAAGAAGGAGGCCTTCTGTAAGTGGGAATTCATGAATAATGAAGATTGATTATGTTCCCTACCTATTTAAAGTATTGCCCTCTTTTTTCTTCTTAGTTGACCTCATCTCCCTCCCTTATTCTTCGTCATGGCTGCAGAATCATAGGCCCTTGGTATCTCAGGCTGACCTGCCCTGTCCTAGACTTCCTGAACCTCACAATCTCTCAGTTGCCTCAGCTGCAAAATGGGGAAAATAATACATATCTCATGGGGTTGTTGGGGGATTAAATGAAATAGCACCTGTCCCCTCCATAGAGCCACCACAGAGGAAGCAAAAAAAAGGAAATATTATGAAGAGTAATTCAATATAGGCTATCTAGACAGAGGTGGGCAGCAGCACCTTGCCCTCCTCCACCACCACGGTGCCCAGAACCTTAGTCAGGACTGACTTCTCTTGGGGGTGGTATTGTGTTAGATAAACCAAATAAGAAGTAATAGGACTAAACATACCTGCTGTAAAAGAAGGCTCATATGCTCCTAAATCTTGCATGTCATTGGAAAATTCTCAAGAAAAAGGAAAGGGATAGTTTATGTTATAATGATTGGTCCACGAGTCCGATTTTAGTGATTTGTCTTCACTGTTTTCGAAACCAAATTTGTTTTTTGTGCAATCACATTTAGTTTTTCTAAATAGTGACTTCCAAAACCTTTAAAAAGCATTGAAGGTGCAACTGCTACTTTTTGAGGTTCCTCAAAAAATTAAAATTAAAAATAGAACTACCATATGACCCCAAAATTCCATATATCCATAAGAATGGAAAGCAGGGTCTTGAGGAGACATTTGCACACCCATGTTCACAGCAGCACAGCAGCCAGGAGTTGGGAAGCAAGCAAAATGTCCATCGACAGATGAATAGGCAAACAAAATGTGCATCGACAGATGAATAGGCAAACAAAATGTGCGGGGGGTGTGTGTGCATAATATTATTCATTATCCTCATGATCACATCATTACCATTCCAAAGGAAGGAAATCCTATCGTATGCTACAACTTGAATGAACCTTGAGTGCATCATGCTAAGTGAAATAAGCCGATCATAAACAGGCTGTTACTGTATGATTCTATTTCTATGAGATATTTAAAGTAGCCAAATTCATACAAACAAACAGAATGGCAATTGCCAGAGACTGAGGGGAGAGGGGGAAAAGGGAGTTGTTTAATGGGCATAGAGTTTCAGATTTGCAAAATGAAAATTTCTAGAGACCTGTGTCACAACAACGTGAATATACTTAACACTACTGAACTGTACACTTAAAAATCAATAAGATGATAAATTTTATGTTATGTGTTTGTTTTGAGACGAAGTTTCACTCTTGTTGCCCACGCTGGAGTGCAATCTCAGCTTACTGCAACCTCCACCTCCTGGGTTCAAGTGATTCTCTTGCCTCAGCTTCCCGAGTAGCTGGGATTACAGGTGCCCTCCACCACACCCAGCTAATTTTTTGAATTTTTAGTAGAGACAGAGTTTCACCACGTTGGCCCGGCTGGTCTCAAACTCCTCACCTCAAGTGATATGCCTGCCTTGGCATCCCAAAGTACTGGCATTACAGGCGTGAGCCACCACGCCCGGCCTGTTATGTGTTTTTTACCACAATTTTTAAAAAATGAAGAGAAAAAAAGCATTGAGGACCCAAAAAGTCAAACTGGATTGATGCTTAGTCACTAGACACGACACCCTAAGTTCTGTTACTGCCAACTTTGGATTCCTGACCGTGCAGGAATCTATATTTAATAAATATACAATCCTGTTCTGTTTGCCTCTCCATAGGTGTTATCCACGTGACCAAGGAAGTGAAAGAAGTGGCAACGCTGTCCTGTGGTCACAATGTTTCTGTTGAAGAGCTGGCACAAACTCGCATCTACTGGCAAAAGGAGAAGAAAATGGTGCTGACTATGATATCTGGGGACATGAATATATGGCCCGAGTACAAGAACCGGACCATCTTTGATATCACTAATAACCTCTCCATTGTGATTCTGGCTCTGCGCCCATCTGACGAGGGCACATACGAGTGTGTTGTTCTGAAGTATGAAAAAGATGCTTTCAAGCGAGAACACCTGGCTGAAGTGATGTTATCCGTCAAAGGTTGGTGGGATTTTCTGATTTTACTTTAGGCCGGCAGATTCTTAATGCCCTTAAAGACACATGGCTATTGATTTAGGTGAAAATTTTACCAAAGAGGGATGTAACTCACTTCATGTCTTGGGGTTAAGTCTCTAGTTGTAAGATAAACCCTAACTGGTTTCTAAAGATGTCCTGGAAATATCTGTTAATGTGCATTTCTTGTTCTTTGACAATCCAAGTTCATGACAATCATCCTGGGGCACTGTAATGACCTAAAGAGCCTCTCAATTACCAAGGGGCATCTTTGACTTGATATAGCCTTGCTACTAACTGCACTTGACCCAGCAATATCTGCTTGTGAAAGTATGCTGAAAAGGTAACGGGGCTGGGTATGGTGGCTTATGCCTGTAATCTCAGCACTTTGGGAGGCCAAGGCGGGCAGATCACTTGAGGTCATGAGTTCAAGATCAGCCTGGCCAACATGGCAAAACTCCGTCTCTACTAAAAATACAAAAATTAGCCAGACGTAGTGGCGCATGCCTGTAATCCCAGCTACTCTGGAGGCTGAGGCAGAGAATTGCTTGAACCTGGGAGGCGGAGGTTGCAATGAGCCGAGATCACACCACTGCACCCCAGCCTGGGTGATAGAGCAAGACTCCATCTCAAAAAAAAAAAAAAAAAGAAAGAAAGAAAAGAAGAGGTAAAAGAACAATGGAGGCATAAAATCTCTTTCAGGTAGTATGTGAATGTCTATTACTATGGCTATTTTACTATTATATTCTAATATTTTCAAAGTGATCATTTACTTATTGCATATTTGAAACTCTAATCTAGCAGTCAGTCCTGAAAAGTTAGATGTTAGAGAATTGGGCTGGGCGCGGTGGCTCAAGCCTGTCATCCCAGCGTTTTAGGAGGCCAAGGTGGGTGGATGGCTTGAGCTCAGGAGTTCGAGACCAGCCTGCCCAACATGGTGAAATCCCATCTCTACTAAAAATACAAAAATTAGCCAGGGGCGTGGTGGCTACTTAGGAGGCTGAGGCAGGAGAATCATTTGAACCTGGGAGGCGGAGGTTGCAGTGAGCAGAGATTGTGCCACTGCACTCCAGCCTTGGTGACAGAGCAAAGACTCTGTCTCAAAAAAAAAAAAATAAAGTAGACTACAGAGGAGGGTGAACATTTCCCTAGTGGTAGAGACTCTGTCTTAAAAAAAAAAAAAGTTAGAGAATTGAATGCATAATTAATTCCTGCCACAAGGAAAAAAACTAATCTATGAATCATAGCCCTATTTATCTACCTACTGTGGAAGGCAAGCATTTCTGGTCTCAGAAAGAAAGGCTTTTGTAACTGCCCAAGCGGTTTACCTTGCCTGCTGCCTAGACAGAGCCAATTCACCAAGACAGGGGAATTGCAACAGAGAAAGAGTAATTCATGCACAACTGGCTGTGCGGGAGAGCGGAGTTTGATTATTACTCAAATCAGTCTCTCTAAGCATCTGGGGAGCAGAGTTTTTAAGGATAACTTGGTGGGTCAGGGGAAGCCAGTGATCTGGGAGTGCTGATTGGTCAGGGATGAAATCATAGGGAGTTGAAGCTGTCTTCTTGCACTAGGTGGGGGCCACAGGATCAGATGAGCCAGTTTATTGATCTAGGTGGTGCCAGCTGATCCATCAAGTGCAGGGGCTGCAAAATAGCTCAAGCACTGATCTTAGAAGCAGTTTAGGGAGGGTCAGAATCTCGTAGCCTCCGGCTTTATGACTCCTAAACCATAATTTATAATCTTGCGGCAAATGTTAGTCCTACAAAGGCAATCTACTCCCCAGGCAAGAAGGAGGTCTGCTTTGGGAAAGGGCTGTTACCGTCTTTGTTTAAACTATAAACTATAAACTAAGTTTCTCCCAAAGTTGGTTCAGCCTACGCCCAGGAATGAACAAAGACAGCTTAGAGGTTAGAAGCAAGATGGAGTCAGTTAAGTTAGATCTCTTTCACTGTCTCAGTCATAATTTTGCAAAGGGGGTTTCACTTTAATCACAGTATAACAGAGGATACTGAAGGAGCCAGAGTCCTTCTTGAGAAATTATAGCCCTGAGCCACTTTCTCACAGTTGGAATTTGAACATATTTCTTTTTTTCCCTGGGCACTTGAGACTGTAGTGAAAACCAAACTTGTCACTTAATAAAACATAATGATTAATCTTGCTAATAGATAACTTCAGCAGATCCTTAGTGAATTCCTTACTGTTCTTCGTTTTGATCATTAGCTATGAATCTTTCCTTGTGACATCTAGATCACACCTAAAGTTTTGGGGAGTAAGACAAAGTTACATGGAACTATCTTAAACTTCACTCGGTGTTTTCTCTGCTCTTGGATAGAATAAATGATTATATGGTGATGTGATTTGAGGGGTACTAAGAAGCCTACCTCTTCCACAATTTTCACCTGCATTGACTCCTGAAATTCTCATCATCATAGCCATTCCTGCTAGTTTCTCCATTTTCCTCCTAAAAGATCCCTGTTGAAACATTTCAAGGGGGCAGGCCCTATTAGCAGATTACCATAAGAGGACAACGTGACATTTCTGGGGTACTCAGAACCGAGGGTGTGGGGGTGGACAAAACCCAGTAAAGGGAAGACAAAAAGATTACTTGCTTAATTTTACCGAGAAGCATTCTGAATTTTCCAACTGAGTCAAAGCAGTGCTTCTCAAAGGTTTATATGCCTATGAGTCACTTGAGGGTCTTGTTAAAAAGGCAGATTTAAGTTCAGTAAGTCTAGGATTTGGATCTGAGATTCTGCACCTCTAACAAGCTCTCAGGTGATGCCTGTGCTGCTGTGGAGGACCACAATTTGAGAAGCAAGAAATTAAGCTCTCATTTGGCTAGAGTGACCAGTTATCCTCTTTGCTCAGAACCAAAGGATTTATTTGGGGCACAAGATTTTTGGTGCTAAAACTGGTCCTTAGGCAAATAGGACAAGTTGGTTATCCTATATTTGTCTAAGATTGCAAAATGGTAATATAATATCAGCATAGCTATATGAAAACCTCCATTAACTGGCATGTATGAGAACTAGCTACATTAGTTAACAGCTTAACTAGGTTGATGGATTTTTCCTTCTAAAACGTGTGCACCTATTCCTTTACTCATAAGATATTCTTACCCTTCCCTATTAAGAGTGATGAAACTTGGGTTAACTAATTAAAATGAGATACAAAGGTCACAGTCTTACAACGTCTTTGATTGTTCACAATCTCACAAGACCTTAGGAGTGGTTACCCTAAACAGATCACCCTAGAAAAATGGTGGGAGATGGCATTTGGGCTGTTCTAAGCCAAGACAGATTTTGAATTTTTTTTTTTTTTTTTTTTTTTTTTGAGATGGAGTCTCTCAGTTTGTCACTCAGGTTGGAGTGCCATGGTGTGATCTCGGGTCACTGCAGCCTCTGCCTCCTGGGTTGAAGCGATTCTCCTGTCTCAGCCTTCCAAGTAGCTGGGACTACAGGCGTGTGCCACCACGCCTGGCTAATTTTTTATTTTTAGTAGGGACAAGGTTTCACCATGTTGCCCAGGGTGGTCTCGAACTCCTGACCTCAAGTGATCATCCTGCCTTGAGCTCCCAAAGTGCTGGGATTACAGGCGTGAGCCAGCGTGCCTGGCCTTGAAAATATTTTTAATACAATTCCTGGTATAAGTGGCATTCCTGTAGTTTATTTCCCAGAAAAGCAGAGAACAAAAATTAACATGAATCATATTAATAATTTAGGATATGAGTTATTTGGATTTGTTATTCCTAATTATAACACAAAACATATTGATGTTATAAGAAACAGAGAATATTCTAGATGTCAGCTGCCTGTGTCATGAGTCGATCTTATAGGATAAATTCGTAAGTGGGAAATAACAATGCCAACTAAAAATGGCTCAGGAACATATCAAACTTCATTTAAGGATAGGGTTCATTGAAAAAAAAAAAAAAAAGTAACTTCACCTCCAACCAAATCCAACTTTCCCCCTTTCCTGGCAATTATAATCATTTGTCATGGCTTCCCTTTATCGTCTTACTCTAGGTGCCACAAGGCATTCCTGGAAGTGTTTGCCTGGCAACTTGATTTAAATGAGGGGGCTTACCTAAGAGAGGATAAATTCAAGACCCACTTCAATATAGCTATCATTGGCTGGGTGTGGTGGCTCACGTCTGTAATCCCGTAATCCCAGCACTTTGGGAGGCTGAGGTTAGTGGATCATGAGGTCAGGAGATGGAGATCATCCTGGCTAACTACTCTGAAGGCTGAGGCAGAAGAATCACTTGAACCCGGGAGGCGGAAGTTGCAGTGAGCCAAGATGGTTCCACTGCACTCCAGCCTGAGCAACAGAGCGAGACTATTTAGTTTCCTGTGTGTCAGGCTCTGTGCTAAGTGATTTCTATGAATGATGTCATTTAATTCTTACAACCCTGGGTATTAGTATCCCTATCTTATAGATGAGCAAACTAAGACTAAAGGTGGGTAAGTTATTGACCCAGGGTCACAAGGCAGAACTGGTTTTAAAACCTGCTCTCGACGATCATATGCTACTTGACATCTCTGTGGGGCTCAGAATTCTGAAAAGAAAGATAACTCTATGGGGAGATTGAATCCCCACACTCATGCTAAGAAGTTAAACTCTTTACGTGTAAGAATAAGTGAGGAAGTCGCTAGGGGATCTTTCTCCTATGTTCTCTGCATTTATTTTCCTGTACTTTGTACTTCAGTATCTTATGGGGATCAAATATATAAATGAAAGAGTGCCTCAAGTGTCTTGGAGGAATGCTAGGAAGGCCTTCCTGTCCCTTTAAGGCATATCAAAATATTAAGAAAATCAATAAAGTATGGTGGATGAGGTTATAGGCTCAATGTTGTAGTTTGGATATACGTTTTTCTGAGTAAAAGACTACTTTTTTTTTTTTTTAATTTCAACCAGGTATTTAATTGGTCTGGCAACTGCACAATATACAAATTTCTGAAAGGTATCTCCTGTTTGAAAGCTAGCATAGTTTCATCCCAGTAATTAATTCAGACAAATACACAGAACACAGAGAAGTCATAAATTATACATGGAAGACTCCCAAACCAATTAACAACTAAACTCAATCTATACAGCTTTCTATTTTTCAGGCTTCCGTATACATATTAAATAAATAAACAGCATGTCTACTATCAAAATAATTTTAAAAATTCAAATGAATTCAAATAAATTTATTCAAATAAATTTCAATGACATTTTCAAATGAAAATATTACTGATATGGTTCACAGTTTTTCTTCTCACCTAAAATAAAGAGCTTTGCCCATGGTCTCAGGAGAGAATAAAGAGAGGAGAAACCCCCTCCAGAAATAGATATGCAAATTTAAAAATATTGGTCCTGGGTGTTTTTTTGGGGGGCTGCGGGGTGTTGGTGAGACTCAGTAGAAGCAAAAGCTCATGACTATAGTTCAGTGCACGCCCCCCACTCACACGCACACAATGCCCCCTCAAAAGCCAGGTCACAGGCTTGCAAATTAGGCAGCATTTTCCTTTCTCCAAGATCTCCTCTCCTTGACCAGATTTATATTTTCTCTCTCCCCATCTAGACCCTTTCCAAACGAAAGTTCTGTGTTAGGCGAAGCCTCCTCTATTTATGTATTGAGTTTAGGTAGTCAGAGAGAAGAGGGAACACAACTTCATGGAGCCCTTACCTGTATCAGACTTAAGAGTCAATGTTCAAAGGATAAGACCAGAAAGGAAGACATGAGAAACCATTCTCAAGAGCAAAGGGGTAGGCCCCTCATGTAAAAGACGACCTTTTAAAAAGGAAAGAGATGCTAACCATAAATTTAGGATAGCGATTACCTTAGGTAAGGGAAAGAGAGGGACAGGATAGGTGACATCATAGTAGCAGATTTACCTCAGTTACTGTCAGTGTTTTGGGTCTCAAGTTGAATGGTGGGTTTTCAGGTGTTCACTATAGTTTAGTAAATAAATAGATAACATAGAAGAAAGCCACTGTGTACCTCAGGCATCAGGAAGAAACAAAGAGAAGACAAGAAAAGGAAAGGAAGAAAGGCAAGGTCAAGAAAAGACAGGCTCTGGTGTCAGACAGATTTGAATTCTGCCACTACTGGTTGGTTATAATTTCTCTAAACCCGTTTGATTACTTATAAAATGGAAATTATATTAGGTTAAATCATATGAAATTACTGATCTTTGACCTTTTTAGATTTACAACTTACCTCTCTAGGGATTCTGTGAAGACAAAATGAGATAAAGTCCAGACCTGACAAACAAGAGCTCAGTAAATGTTGTCTATTATTCTTCTCCTTATCTCTTACAATTGCAAGTACTCTGGCAACATTTATTCACATGAACCTACTTCTCCTTTCTCTAGTAAGTGCCCTCCTATCTCCATCAAAAGTGGTAAAGAATTGATATAACCAATTCAAATCAAAGTTAGTCTTTGGATTATACATAACTATTAATGATTAATGGGAAGTTGCAAGTTATATCTCATTTTATCATTCTTGTTTTGTTTTGTTGTTTTTGAGATGAAGTCTTGCTCTTTTGCGCAGGCTGGAGTGAAGTGGTACAATCTCGGCTCACTACAACTTTCACCCTCCAGGTTCAAGCAATTCTCCTGCCTCAGCCTCCCGAGTAGCTGGGATTATAGGTGTCTGTCACCATGGCTGGTTAATTTTTGTATTTTTAGTAGAGATGGGGTTTTGCCATATTGGCCAGGCTGGTCTCAAACTCCTGACCTCAGGTGATCCACCTGCCTTGGCCTCCCAAAGTGCTGGGATTACAGGCGTGAGCCACTGTGCCTGGCCTTAATCAACTCTTATTAAAGCTAGAAAATTATTTAAAAATAAACCTCTACACACATAGGTTTGTAACTATATGTAATTATATATTCTTGTTCTTTCTTTAGCTGACTTCCCTACACCTAGTATAACTGACTTTGAAATTCCACCTTCTAACATTAGAAGGATAATTTGCTCAACCTCTGGAGGTTTTCCAGAGCCTCACCTCTCCTGGTTGGAAAATGGAGAAGAATTAAATGCCATCGACACAACAGTTTCCCAAGATCCTGAAACTGAGCTCTATACTGTTAGCAGCAAACTGGATTTCAATATGACAACCAATCACAGTTTTGTGTGTCTCATCAAGTATGGACATTTAAGAGTGAATCAGACCTTCAACTGGAATACACGTAAGTGACATTGTTCTGGGGAGTTTCTACTATATCGAATCTAAAAAGACAATATAGTCGTGTGTCACTTAATGATGTGGATACATTTTGAGAAATGCATCATTAGGCAATTCTGCCACTGTCTGAACATCAGAGTGGACTTACATAAACCTAGATGGTGTAGCCTACTGCACACCTAGGCTACATGGTACAGCCTAGTGCTTGAGGCTACACACCTGTACAGCATGTTACTATACTGAATACATAGGCACTTGTAATACAATAAGTATTTGTGTATCTAAGCATATGTAAACACAGGAAAGGTACAGTAAAAATACAGTATTATAATTTTATGGGACTACCATCATATATGCGGTAGGTCATTGAAAACATTGTTATGTGGCACATTACTGTAACTCAGCCAGATACATTTGAGAATCGTCATATTTACTTTGATAGTATTTTATAGTATTTTTAGATACACAAATGACCATGTCCTATTATGACTTATTAAAGTCACTGTGAGGGCTAAGCACAGTGGCTCACGCCTGTAATCCCAGCAGTTTGGGAGGCTGAAGTGGGAGGATCACTTGAGCCCAGGAGTTCAAGACCAGCCTGGGAAGCATGATGAGACCGACTCTATGAAACATTTAAAAAATTAGTCGGGCTTGGTGGCACATACGTGTAGTCCCAGGTACTCGAGAGGGTAAGGTGGGTGGCTTACTTGAGCCCAGGTGTTCAAAGTTGCAGTGATCTATGATCATGCCACTGAACTCCAGCCTGGGCAACAGAGCGAGACCCTGTCTCTAAAAGAAATAAATAAAATAATTTTTAAAATAAATTTAAAAAATAAAGTCACTGTGCAAGGTGTGATAATGTTACTAATTTTCTTTTTATTTTATTTTTTTGAGACCACCTCACCCTGTTGCCCAGACGGGAGTGCAGTGGCACAACCTCTGCCTTCCGGGTTCAAGCAATTCTCCTGCCTCAGCCTCCCCAATAGCTGGGATTACAGGCGCCAGCCACCACCCTCGGCTGATTTTTTCTGTCTTTGGTAGAGATGGGTTTCACCATGTTGGCCAGGCTGGTCTTGAACTCCTGACCTCATGACCCACCCACCTCAGCCTCCCAAAGTGCTGGGATTATAGGCATGAGCCACTGTGTCCGGCCTTATTTTCTTGTAATAAATATTCTAAAATTTATATATACTAATAACCACTATCCATCATCTTAAAAAGTTATTGTAAAAATATTGTTATTGAAAGTATTAAAATGTGCCCTTTGGAATTGCCCTTAGGGATTTGGTACTTTCTTTTAGGGCATGCCACCCACATGGTTCCATGGTGCCAAACAATTTTTTTTTTTTTTTTTTTTTGTGGGTGAATGTGCTTTTTAAGAACTATTGGTTCCTTCTGAACCAAGTCTGGGAAAGGTGAGTGACAAACTCCTTGAAGACAACGCCTGAAAAGAGGTCATTTTGGAGCAAATATTTTACCCTACTGGTAGTAAACTCAGAGAATTCTCTTTCCCCGAGAGGTGAAATCACTTGAAAATATAAAATGAAATCGTTGGGTTTACATGAATATATGCATCTTAGGCCTATAATGGCTTAAGATGGCTTACAAGGTGAACTCAGATGCTCAAAATATTAATACTTGTTTAAATTGTATGGTTGATCATACAGAAGACCACAGTCTCTCTCCCTACCCCGAGCCCCACTCCCAAGGATAGGTTTTGTGACTAGAGTAAGAAACAATACACTGAGTTTGATATACAGTTGCACATAAGTATATAGCACAATATATATTATATAGTATGTCTTTACTTATAGTTGTGAAGTGGATAATTTATTTTAGATGGTCTAGTAATTCATGCTAGTATATGATTTACTCTAGATCTTTCAGTGTTACAGCAGATTATTTTTTTGGGGGGATGGAGTCCCGCTCTGTTGCCCAGGCTGGAGTGCAGTGGCGTGATCTCGGCTCACTGTGACCTCTGCCTCCCAGATTCAAGCAATTCTCCTGCCTCAGCCTCCTGTGTAGCTGGGACTATAGGTGCCGGCCACCACGCATGGCTAATTTTTGTATTTTTAGTAGAGACGGGGCTTCACTATGTTGGTCAGGCTGGTCTCAAACTCCTGACCTTAGGTGATCCACCCACCTCAGCCTCCCAAAGTGCTGGGATTATAGGTGTGAGCCACCGCGCCCAGCTACAGCAGATTCTTTATTTTCCTCAATGAGATAAAATTTCGTGGGAAAATTAGGTCAACTATAAACCAAACATTGACATGACTATTGATACTCCAAACTTATCAGTCTCAGTCATCTTTTATGTGTTGTAAAAATTTTATTAAAATGAGGCTTCAATCATAAAGATAGTTTATTAAGTCTCTATTTTTACCTTCTTGTTATAGAATTATTTAACGAATTTTATGTTATTCTGATTGAAGGTAGAAAACAGTAGAGTCCTGATTATTAAATCAGTAATACTAGCTTGAACTGCATTTTGATTTGCACATTATTTATATTGGAATATGGATATATGTGACATTCTAGGACAGGGGTTGGCAAATTTTTTCTGAATAGAGCCAGATAGTAAATATTTTAAGCTTTGCAGTCACAGTCTCTGTTGCAACAAGTCAATTCTGCTGGTTGTAGCATGAAAGCAGCCACAGACAAGACATAAATGTTCCAACAAAATTTCGTTCTTTCTTTCTTTGCTTTTTTTTTTTTTTTTGGAGACAGAATTTTGCTCTCATTGCCCAGGCTGGAGTGCAATGGTGTGGTCTCGGCTCACTGCAACCTCTGCCTCCTAGGTTCAAACAATTCTTCTGCCTCAGCCTCCCAAGTAGCTGGGATTACAGGTGCCTGCCACCACAATTGGCTAATTTATGTATTTTCTTAGTGGAGATGGGGTTTCACCATGTTGGCCAGGCTGGTCTCGAACTCCTGACCTGGCTGGTCTAGAACTTCTGACCTCAGGTGATCCATCTGCCTCAGCCTCTCAAAGTGATTACAGGCATGAGCCACCACGGCCCGGCCACAAAATTTCATTTTTAAGAACAGGTGGCAGGACAGGTTTGGCCCATGTGCTATAGTTTGCTAACTTAAAGATTTTGTGGTTGGAGAGCTTTGGTGTATAAATGTCTCAAATCTCATTAATTGGACTGTGTGGGGATTCTTTAGAATAAGATTCAAAAGCCAGTAATGCATTTATGGGAGGTCAAGGGCTGACTGCACTAACAAATATACATTAGATGTACAGTTCATAGAAATGTTACAGGTCAATGTGAGTAAAGTTTTGATGTGAAAATGTATTAGTCTGTTTCCATGCTGCTGATAAAGACATACCCAACACTGGGCAACTTACAAAATAAAGAGGTTTAATTAGACTCACAGTTCCACGTGGCTGGGGAGGCCTCACAATCATGGCAGCAGGCAAGGAGGAGCAAGTCATGTCTTACATGGATGGCAGCAGCTAAAAAGGAGCTTGTTATAAGGAAACTCCTGTTTTTAAAACTATCAGATCTCGTGAGACTCATTAATTATCACAAGGACAGAGCAGGAAAGACTCGCCCCCATAATTCAGTCACTTCCCACTAGGTTCCTCCCATGACATGTGGAAACTGTGGGAGTTATAATTCAAGATGAGATTTGGGTGGGGACACAGCCAAACCGTATCAGTAAATAACTGATCTGGAGGAAAAAAAAAAAAAAGCCCAAATGTATTAATTAAGCAGATTGGGCATATGATTCTTTTTAGTGTAGTCCCACCAAATTTGTTTTCCCTTGATAAACTGGAAGGAGATAAATCTAGGAGAGTCATACTCATGGTATCTAATAAGCTACATGTGCAGATGCCCTCACACAGCTGTGCACCTTGGATTCTGGGTCTGCCCCTCTGGGGTGTTACCAGGTTTCTAACAGGTGTCATGACAGACCTGGCTTGCTGCTACCGAGGCCTCCCTCTTTCCCTCACACACATACTCTCTCTAGGTTGAATGAGGCTTGTGGATGGGTGTGGAGTGGAAGCCAGGAATGAGCTGAAGCCTGTGAAACTTCTAGACGCCCAAGATAACAGCAATGGCTTGTTATTTTTTGTGTCATTCTAATCTGTAGAGGTCAACTCTGGTAATCACTTGATGTCTCCATGCAATCTGGTGTTTTAGAGAAAGAAGAAAAACCAACTCTCCTATCTTTAAGTAGTAGACACACTATGATTAAACAGGTGTTTTAGAATGATTACTGTGACAGCAATGTGCAGGAATTATTAGAGCCTAGGAAACCTGAGGCAAAGAGACCGGTTTGCAGGCTACTAAGTGGGAGATGAGAAAAATCTCAGCTAAGGCAGTTGCTGCAAGAGATTTGGGAAAAAGCAGTAAGTTCCAGAGATATTCTGAATATAGAACAGGAAATACATGAGAGCCTACTGGGAAGTGAGCACAAAGAAAATACCACACTCTTATTTGGGTAACTAAATGGTATTGTTATTCACTGAAATGGGAGAATACAAGTGGTAGATATGATCTGGAAAGCATGTAGTAAATTCAGTTTTAATCAAGTGGAGATTCTGGCATCCATCCAATATATAAATTTAAAAATCAGATGACATTTTTGTGTTTTTCTTTGTCTTTTTCTGAGATAGAGTCTTACTCTGTCACCCAGACTGGAGTGCAGTGGCGCGATCTCAAATCATTGCAACCTCTGCCTCCTTGGTTCAAGCAATTCTCTTTTTGTTTTTTTTTTTTTCTGAGACGGAGTTTTGCTCTGTGGCCCAGGCTGGAGTGCAGTGGCATGATCTCAGCTCACTGTAAACTCCACTTCCCAGGTTCACACCATTCTCCTGCCTCAGCCTCCCGAGTAGCTGGGACTACAGGTGCCCGCCATCACGCCCGGCTAATTTTTTGTATTTTTAGTAGAGATGGGGTTTCACCGTGTTAGCCAGGATGGTCTCGATCTCCTGACCTCATGATCCGCCTGCCTCAGCCTCCCAAAGTGCTGGGATTACAGGCATGAGCCACCACGCCTGGCCTCAAGCAATCCTCTTGCTTCAGCCTCCCGAGTACCTGGGATTGTAGGCATGCACCTCCATGCCCCGATAAGTTTTTGTATTTTTAGTAGAGACAGGGTTTCACTATGTTGGCCAGGCTGGTCTCGAACTCCTGACCTCAGGTGATCTGCCCACCTTGGCCTACCAAAGTGCCGGAATTACAGGTGTGAGCCACTGCACCCGGCCTCAAATGGCATTTCAAATCTTGGGTGTGGAGGATATAACCCAGGAAGACTGGGGCCAGGAAGGGCAAAATGGGACCACAAACAGAACCATGGGAACAACAATAATTAGAGGACAAGAAGAGGAAGAAAAGTCTTCGAAGCAAAGCCTTCAGAGAAAACCGAGTGCAACAAACAGAAACAGAAGGATGTGGTGTCACAGAAGTCCAAGAAGGAGAAGATTCCAACTGGCCAAATGCTGATGAGAAGTCCAATAAGAGAAATAATAAAACTAGGCCAGGCGCAGTGGCTCACGCCTGTAATCCCAGCACTTTGGGAGGCCGAGACGGAAGGATCACCTGAGGTCAGGAGTTTGAAACCAGCCTGGCCAACATGGGGAAACCCTGACTCTACTGAAAATACAAAAATTAGCTGGGTATGGTGGCATGCCCCTGTAATCCCAGCTACTTGGGAGGCTGAGGCAGAAGAATTGCTTGAACTTGGGAGGCAGAGACTGCAGTGAGCTGAGGTCGTGTTACTGCACGCCTGGCCTGGGGAACAGAGTGAAACTCCATCTCAAATAAATAAATAAATAAATAAATAAATAAAACTTACCACTAGGTTTGGTAATCAGAAAAGTAAAAACAGGGATCTTGGACTCCCTGGTCCCTGGACCCTGTCTCCAGCCCAGCCTTGCTAGCTCCACATCTGGTGCATGCTCCTGCCTCTGACTCAATGGTTTGCAGGAAAAATTTAGAGAGCACAACAGTGGCAATTCACAATGAAGAGATCTACTGCAAATCCTGCTATGGAAAGAAATATGGGCCAAAAGGCTATGGTTATGGCCAGGGCGCTGGCACGCTTAACATGGCAAGAGGCTGGGCATCAAGCCAGAGTGTTCAGCCTCACAGGCCTACAACAAATCTAAACACTTCTAAATTTGCTCAGAAATATGGAGGTGCTGAGAACTGTTCCAGATGTGGGGACTCGGTATATGCTGCCGAGAAGATAATTGGAGCTGGAAAGCCCTGGCACAAAAACTGTTTCTGATGTGCAAAGTGTGGGAAGAGTCTTCAGTCAACAACTCTACTGAAAAAGAAGGTGAAATCTATTGTAAAGGATGCTATGCAAAGAACTCTGGGCCCAAGGGATTTGGCTATGGCCAAGGAGCAGGGGCTCTTGTTCATGCCCAGTAAGGTGTAAACCCAGAACTAAGCATCACACACTGATAATCTCTTCGTTATCTAGGCACAGATAATCTTTAACACTAAACTACTGTGAAATTCTACCAGCATTGAGTACTGTATATTACCCTGTACTTGGATAGGCTGGCTAACTCATAGGGAGAGAGCACTGTATCGTACCATTTTGCTTTATTCACCAGCATTTTTGGGGAACATTTCTTTTATGTTTTAAATAAAACTTCAGCATGGGAAAAAAAAAAAGGAAAAACAATAAGTTAGTAAATATTCATTTATTTGTAAGCCATTTCAGAGAAACCAGATGAGCTGCTATAATTTGTGTCCCTGCCCTTTTTCCAGATGTTGCTAACTATTCTTCAAAGCAGCTGAAGAATAAACAGTGTAGCTGCTGCTCCTGATCTGGAGGCATGGACCAGCAGCACCATATCCACCAACACCTTTCTCCTCCCCACCCTCATCCTTCCTGTGTACTTCTTGTGCTCTGTGGGACTGAAACTACAGCTGATAACCTTCAGAGCTCTCTTCTAGGATGGTCCCACCTAATACCAAGCCATATCCACACTTAGTTCTTTGCTGGACTTGTTCTGTATTTCCAGTAGCTCTAGGCTAGAGGGTGAAAAACCTGTATCCGAAAGTGAATGCAAAGTGGCTCCTGCAGCTTTAGGGCAGCTACTGTGAGGTAAGGATGTGTGTGATGTGTATGTGTTGACAGACAATATGGTAGGAGAAAGGGAGAAGGCATGACAGAGCTAGAGAAGGAAAAATAAAGTATACATAGAACACAACATCAACCAGTTAGTAGTAATACATAGTTATAATCAGCTATAAAAGTGAGATATTACAAGATGGCTTGTAAAAGATTTCCTTAAAATCTTCCTTATATCAACTTAACTCAGTAAATGCAGACATTCAAAGTGCCTTTTTCACTTTTAGTATCTGACATCTGAATATTAGTTGCCCACAAGTATGTGCCTGATTGAAGAATTATGCAAGAAAAATGCTAGCAGCTGCATACTGGAGAGGTGACCAGACAAAGAATACTCCACAGTTACATCAATAGAAAAGGCACAGAATGAATATCAGGCAGTAGGAAACACATTACAGCTGACATTATTCTTTTCCCTCCACAGCCAAGCAAGAGCATTTTCCTGATAACCTGCTCCCATCCTGGGCCATTACCCTAATCTCAGTAAATGGAATTTTTGTGATATGCTGCCTGACCTACTGTAAGTACTATCATACTATCATCCTGATCTCAATTCTGGAAGATCAAACTTTATTAGCATGGTTCAGCAGCTCCCTGAGATTTTAGCCTATTCTCTCTCATATTTACAGAAAGTCTATGGAAACATTAGCATCTCCTTTACTTGTCTCAGTAAGTTCTGTTCATTCACTGGACATTTTCCGACACCTCCTACACGTGTGGCACTCTACTAGGCATTGGAATTACAGAGCTAAGAAGTCGCTGCCCTCAAGACACATTCTAGTTTAGTCCATCTATTTTTCCCCTAACTTCATATATTTTTGGAGACTGGGGTTTGCTAACCAATTTGAAAATGTTTCTGATGCTAAATGATATTCTAATTCTTTTTAAGGGCTAGTCAATTTGGCAGGTGAGTTGTTAAACACTCCTTAGTGAATTCCAACTTCCATGGCCACCATCCTGCTGATATTCTAATTTTGATTTGGAGTTAGAGAAAAGGCAAATTGACAAATTTTGGGGCCAAGAATCATTTTCTTGGAGGAGGGCAAGATGCACTGATACAGTCGAGAAACTACATGGCTACAGGTGATCCTACCAATTCTCAGTTCTTGGGCCGGGCAAGGTGGCTCACGCTTGTAATCCCAGAACTTTGGGAGGCCAAGGTAGGTGGATCACTTAAGGTCAGGAGTTTGAGACCAGCCTGGCCAACATGGTGAAACCTCCGTCTCTACTAAAAATTCAAAAATTAGCCAGGAATGGTGGTGTGCACTTGTAGCCCCAGCTACTTAGGAGGCTGAAGCAGAAGAATCGCTTGAACCCAAGAACCCAGGAGGCGGAGACTGCAGTGAGCCAAGATCACGCCATTGCACTCCAGCCTGGGCGACAGAGTGAGACTCCATCTCAAAAAACAAACACACACGTTTTCAGTTCCTTTTTTTTTTTTTTTTTTGAGATGGAGTCTCACTCAGTCACCCAGGCTGGAGTGTAGTGGCCCAATCTCTGCTCACTGCAGCCTCCACCTCCCAGGTTCAAGCAATTCTCCTTCCTCAGCCTCCTGAGTAGCTGGGATTACAGGAACGTGCTGCCACATCCGGCTAGTTTTTTTTTTGTTGTTTTTTTTTTTTTGTATTTTTAGTAGAGATGGGGTTTCACCGTGTTGGGCAGGATGGTCTTGACCTCCTGACCTCGTTATCCGCCCGCCTTGGCTTTCCAAAGTGCTAGGACTTCTTGTCTTTGTAATTCCAGTGCCTAGTAGAGTGCCACACACATAGGTGTCTGGAAAAATGTCAATTTTCTCAGTTCTTTAGAATACATTTTTGGATGAAAGATCAGGAGTGGCTGATGAAAGAAGAGATTTCTAAGATATTTTACCCTATGAATTTACACTTTGGGTGTTAGACATATGCTGCCCTCAATCTATATGATTAAATGAAGAGGAACTGCTAGTTCTATGGTCTGAAATAAGGCCATCATCACTATGAAGGGGTACCAATTCTTCTTTGAGTAGAAATCATGTACACTGATCAAATAAAATTGGAAGATCAACATCTGCTGATTTTCCCAGGATTTAGCACCAAAAAAAACCCAAAGCACAGTGAATTCCTTAGAGAGTATGTGCTGTTAACAACTTATCCCAAGGGTAGGATAAAGAGGTCTGGTGGGCTCAAGGATGTTTCTAATACCAACTATCCAGTGTTACCCCTTTAATTCAGGGGTTCTCATCCTCAACATTATTGGCATTTTGGGCAAGATAATTCTTTGTTTTGGAGTGCTGTTCTGTGCACTGTAGGATGTTTAGCAGCTTCCTTAGCCTCTAATCACTACATGCCAGTAGCACTCCTTGCCCGTTGTGACAACCAAAAATATCCCCAAGCATTGCCAAATGTCCCCTTGACAAAGAGATGAAGAGGTAGGTTGTAAATCACCCCTGATGTAAGAACCACTGCTCCAGTTCTAAGTCAGTCTGAAGCCTTGCTAAAGTAAATATTAATATATGGGCACAATTCAAGGGAAACTCACTAATCATTTTTATTGTTTGTTCTTGTCTCCAAGGTTTTGCCCCAAGATGCAGAGAGAGAAGAAGGAATGAGACATTGAGAAGGGAAAGTGTACGCCCTATATAACCGTATCGGCAGAAGCAAGGGGCTGAAAAGATCTGAAGGTAGCCTCCGTCATCTCTTTGGGGATACATGGATCATGGGGATCATGAGGCAGTGTTCCCTTACTCTTAGTAGTAAATTTAAGCTGTTTTACCTACTACCTCACCTTCCCAAAAGTCTATTTTGGATTAAGCTGGACAGTTATAAGATGGCTAGCATCCCTCTCCTTTCTCCCCATATATAATTTGCTTAATGCAACCTCTTCTTTTGCCATGTTTCCATTCTGCCATCTTGAAATATTCCCCTGTCAGCCAATTCAATGTCTTCCATTACCTATTAAACACTAATTTGAGTTTGTCTTGAATATTCCTGTGGTAACTTCTTATTCTGATCATTCATTTTTCCCTATATCTCTCAGTATTGATGGACATGGGTTGGGGCCACTTTGTATTAATATGGTAACGTTTTCATTGGTTTCTCTGCCTCTTACTAACAGACTCATCCTACTGACCAATCATGGAGCCAAATTTCATAAAGAATGAATTACTCTGTCATGTCATTTTCCCACTCAAAAACTCAGAAGAGACCCCCGTGCCTACAGGAAAAGCTTCAAAGCTTTTTAACTTTCTACATTCCACCCGATCTCTTGTCTAAACACCCTTGAGTTCTGTCAGTTGTTCCTCACATGGCATGGTTTCCAGAGCCTCATATGAATGGGGAAAACGGAACCCAAGACTTTAGATTTGGTTTTAATGACTCTACATACAATGAGATAATTATTATCTGGGGTCTGGAATGTCCATTCTGCTAATAGATCCTAACACAGCACTAGCTTTAGTGAGTCACAAATCCCCAGGTATTTTCATGCAAGAGAAACTTACATGGGACATTAGAATCCAAGAGACTGATACCAGGTCTAAGGTAGTTACAAGCCTCCCTAAACAGTTCAGCTTTGACTTGTGAAGATTGGAGTAACACCAGTATAAGAAATTAGTCTACAAAATTATCTTTAAAAATAAAAGAAAGCAAGAATTGTCCTGGGCAGGAGGGGGAAATAGAAATAAAAATGAAAAATAATACCTGAGACTTATACAACAGGTTGTTTTGCAAAAACACGATTTCATCTTAGTCTTATAAAAATCTCTATGAGCAAGATCTATTTCCATTTTATGGGAGAGAAACCAGAGGCTCCCAGAGGTTAAGTAATTTGCTTGTAAGGTCATACAGAGGAGGAATAAAACCAAGATTCAAACTGGACACCAAGTTCAGGTTCCTTTCCCTACAACCTGCCAGCCTATACATATTTTCCTCCAAGGCAGTCTCTCAACTTCCTATCCTGTTTTTTCATTGCCACTGAATGCTTGCTCACTCCTCAGAATGTCCTTTCCAGGATGTTGCTGTGGCTCAGTTCTGTCATTATTTTCTTGACTTTCTATCTAAAAAGTCTTCTGCTCAGTCTGCTGATACTTCAAAATGAAGCCATGTATCCAATCTTCTACACAAGGCCTTCTGTGGCCATCTTATCCAGCTCAAGCAGTTCCACCTGTAGAGCACATCTCATACCACTAGCATAGGTTGATTTTCATGTACCACATCTTCCTTCCATCCTTTACCGGACTGTATGTAGGCTTACTGAGAAAAGCAACCATGCCTGATAGCCCCATACATAGAAGAGTACCTTCATCAAGCATGTGGTCGTTTAGTAATAGCTGGTAATAACTAAACATTTGCCTGATCAATATTTCATGTGATAAAAATCGCCAGAGTAGTTTTAAGTTCTCTCATAATTTAGCTCTCCCTTCATATTCTTCAGCTATCAAGGTTACTATGTACAAGTTGGGAATACCCTTGATCTTGAGATTAAAATCTAAATTAAGAGATTAACATTAAAATTTATATGTATGTGGATATATAAATTTAAGATGTTCTCCTCCTTTGCCAATATAGGGTTTGATGTAATCATTTGTTTTCTCAGGTCCCAGCTCCATTTGCAATTGACCTCTTCTGGGAACTTCTTCAGATGGACAAGATTACCCCACCTTGCCCTTTATGTGTCTGTTCTTAGGTGCTTCTTCACTTCAGTTGCTTTGCAGGAAGTGTCTAGAGGAATATGGTGGGCACAGAAGTAGCTCTGGTGACCTTGATCAACGGGTTTTGAAATGCAGAATTCTTGAGTTCTAGAAGGGACTTTAGAGAATACCAGTGTTATTAATGACAAAGGCACTGAGGCCCAGGGAGGTGACCAGAATTATAAAGGCCAGAGCCAGAACCCAGATGTCCTAACTCTGGTGCTCTTTCATCAGTTTGACTGTGGCCTGTTAACTGGTGTATACATATACATGTCAGGCAAAGTGCTGCTGGAAGTAGAATTTGTCCAATATCAGGTCAACTTCAGAGACTGTCTGATTTCCTAATGTCAGAGTAGATTTTATATTGCTGTTTACAAAAGCCCAATGCAATGCATAGGAAGTATGGCATGAACATCTTTAGAAGGCTAATGGAAATATTATTGGTGTTTACCCAGTATTCCATTTTTTTCATTGTGTTCTCTATTGTTGCTCTCTCACTCCCCCATGAGACACAGGAGAAAGTAGAACTATCCAAAACTAATTTCCTCTGACATGTAAGATGAATGATTTATGTACCTCAAAGCAGTAGTCAAGGAGGAAAGGGATAGTCCAAAGACTTAACTGGTTCATATTGGACTGATAATCTCTTTAAATGGCTTTATGCCAGTTTCACCTCATTTGTAAACCATTTATGAGAAAGTTCTCATTTAAAATGAGATCATTGTTTACGGTGTATGCACTAAACAGTAAGCTATCTTCAAATGTCTAAGGTAGTAACTTTTCACATAGGGTCTCCTTAGATCCCTAAGATGGCTTTTCCTCCTTTTTATTTCTGGGTCTTTCCGACA